GAAAAGACTAGGAACAACAAATGCTGGCGAGGATGTGGAGAAAGGGGAACCCTCCTACACTGCTGGTGGGAATGTAAACTAGTTCAACCATTGTGGAAAGCAATATGGAGGTTCCTCAAAAAACTAAAAATAGAAATACCATTTGACCCGGGAATCCCACTCCTAGGAATCTACCCAAAGAAAACAAGTTCTCAGATTCAAAAAGACATATGCACCCCTATGTTTATCTCAGCATTATTTACAATAGCCAAGATATGGAAGCAACCTAAGTGTCCATCAGTAGATGAATGGATAAAGAAGATGTGGTACATACACACAATGGAATACTATTCAACCATAAGAAAGAAACAAATCCTACCATTTGCAACAACATGGATGGAGCTAGAGGGTATTATGCTCAGTGAAATAAGTCAGGCAGAGAAAGACAAGTACCAAATGATTTCACTCATTTGTGGAGTATAACAACAAAGCAAAACTGAAGGAACAAAATAGCAGCAGACTCACAGACTCCAAGATGTGAGTCTTGAGTGGTGGTTACCAAAGAGGAGGGGTGGGAGAGGGAGAAGGGGATTGTGGGGTATCATGATTGGTACACATGGTGTGTGGGGGTTCACGGGGAAGACAGTGTAGCTCAGAGAAGACAAATAGGGACTCTGGCATTTCACTACACTGATGGACAGTGACTGCAATGGGGTATGTGGTGGGGCGACTCGATAATAAGGGTGAATTTAATAATCACTTTGTTTTTCTTGCGAAATCTTCATAAGAGTGTTTATCAATGATACCTTGATAAAAAAAAACACTGTTGTACATTTAAAAGTTGCTAAGAGAGTAGATCGTAGAAGTTCAAATGAGGAAAAAAAAATTTTTGTGACTGTATGAGGAGATGGATGTTAATTTTATTGTGCTAATCATTTTACAATATATGTATGTCAAGTCATTATGTAGAGTATCTTAAACTCATAGAGAGCTGTTCATCAATTTTATATCTCAATAAAACAAAAATGACCCAAAGACATTAGAACATAGGATTCCCTATTATCCTCACTTTCAGAATCTAGGCCCACTTGAAAATAGAGCCTTTTTGCTCATTTATCTCACTCTGAACTTGGTGAACAATATTTGAACATCCAGTAACATAATCTTTCATGTAAATCAGGCTTCTGAAATATTAAGGGGAATGTCTTCCGGTTTGTGCCACTATCAGGGATTGATAAGACAAAAAACTTGAAAAGCTGCAAAATGCAAACTCCACTTCCTCTCCTCTTCTCAAAACAGAGACTCGTGTAAACAGAATAGAGAAATTATTTCTGTGTTGGCATTCTTCTTCTAGAAGGCTTAAGTTATTATCACCCATGAGTGAAGCTCCCTACATTTTCAAAACATCCTATTATATTTCAGGTAACTGGAAACCTATTTGGAGTAGGTTTAATATGGCCTTATTACCATTTTGTTTCTTGCTTGAGTGAGTCAATATAGTAGAGGTGTAAACATAATATAATAAAATAGGCATATTTGCAAAGAGGATTTCAAAGGGATATCTAATGAATCTTAGAAAGGAAGTGGGGATAAGCTTAAAGGTCATAATTAAATCTTACCAGGGAAACCATAGTGTTCAGTGGTAAGATGAAAAGCCACATTACTGAAAGGTAGCCTGCAGCATTCAATCCATTCAGTTGGCATTAAACTGATAAATGGTGAACTAAGTATCCTGAGTTGAATTTTAATTATAATATGGTTGGCAAAGCTGAATTGCAGTGTATTTCATCTTTATGGATACAAAATTGGAATGCATTATGCTATAAAAATGTGTCCCTATTCACTAGTATTTGTCACTGTTTTGAAGTACATTAAGTTTTTATCATACTGAGGGTAGCCTGCACTATTTCATTCAGTACTCAAAACCCATCAAGTAGGTACTATTAGTATTCTCATTATACGACTAAGAAATATGAAGATCCAGGAGGTTAGATAGCATGTGTAAGTGCCAAAGCCAGGGTTTGAATATAGTGCCAAGTGAGAACCTTGACATTGTATTGCTTGCCTTCAGAGGAAGAACTATTTCCATTCCTCTCTTTATGTTCCCTTAACTGCACCAAATAAACTTGCATTTTATAATGTTACTTCCTATACACAAGTATACTTTTAATAAGGAATATTTTCCAACTCTCAGAATTGGGTTCCTGTAAAGTGTGGGAATGAGGAAAAAAAACTGGAAATAGGTCCTCTTCTGGCATAGTAGAAAGGTGGATCTAGGAACCTTTTGCTTGGCAAATGGAATTCTCAGCTGGCCATTGCTAATTTGGTCATTGTCAAAATACATCTGGGATGGGCAAACTAAGGCCAGTGGGCCAAATGCAGCCCACTGCTGGTTTTTGTACAGTCTAAGACCTAAGAATAGTTTCTACAGTTTTAAATAGTTGAAAAAAATGAAGAGAATCATAATTTGTGACATGTGAAATTCATCAAGAGTGAGCCCTAATCTAAACTATGGACTTTGGGTGATAGTGATGTGTCAATGTAGGTTCTTTGATTCTGAGAAATGTATGTCTCTGGTTCAGGATGTTGGAGAGGAAGGCTGTGCATGTGTGGGGGTCATGGGTATATGGGAACTCTATCTTCTGCTTAGTGTGCTGTGAACCTAAAACTGCTCTAAAAGTAGACTCTATTGGAAATATTATGCAGCTCAAATTCAATGCCCAGAAATAATGTTTTAATTGGAACACAGCCACACCCATTTGTTTATATATTATATATGGCTGTTTTAACCCTACAGGGTAGCGTTCAGTAAATACCAGATGACTCAGAAAAGCCTAAAATGTTTACTGTGTTGGCTTTTACAGAAAAGTTTGCCCATCTCTGGTATAGACTAAGGTCCTGGTTGGAGTGCTTCTCCTGGAGTCAAACTTCCAGGCTTCATAATTCTCCCTCCACCTCTCACTAGTTGTGAAGGCTTTGGACAAGTCACTTAATCTTGCTAGCCTCAGTTTACTCATCTTTTAAAATGGAATAGTAATAGAACCCTTATATGACTATTTTAAGGATTAAATGACTGAATACACAGGAAATTAACTGAAAGCACCCAGTACATGTTAGTAATAATTTATTTTGATTTTGAGAATTTCACATTCCTCTTATGGTCTTTCCTTTTAGAATCAGGATACATTTTTTCTCAACTATTTGAAATCTGTTCTCATTATGTACGGAATACATTTGTCTGCCCAGGATTCATTTTCTTGTCTATCAGAAGCTCTCACATGACATGGTTATGTTTGTTGCTCCCATTTTTCCATCCAGTTTGTCCTTGATAAAAATTAGCTCCAGAGTAGTAGTTATCCTATTACTTTCTATGTCTTCCAAAATGCAAAATTGTCAGCATGCCAGGTCAACCAATTTGTCTTTTCCAATACCAGATTTCTTGCTGACATATATGCATTTTCTTTTCAGAGAACATTTATTCAAATTTTTTTGTCATTCCCCAGTTCCTATAAAGCAACAAGTTGAAATCACATGAAATCACCCTGAATGACTTAGCAAAGAATATAGTTAAGTCATTATTCTGAAGATTCTCAGGCTCTTATTCAGTAGAAAAAAACTATTAAGCAAGAATTTATGGATTGACTGGAATTCCAAAGGCCAAAAGGTGT